TCTAGTCATTAGGGAGCTGGTGTTAGTCGAGCTGTCCCTGGGGGTGCTACGACTGGGAGTGAGCCATCTGCTGGACCTGGAGAGCCTGGGACTGACCCTGTTACTTCTGGTGGTGCTGGCTTTGGGGGTGGTGCGGTCGGTGCCTTGGAGGGTAGTCCTGGGGCTGCTGCTGCCTCGGGCACTACTCCGCGACCGCACCCCTACCGGACCCGGCACCAGGCTCGTCTTTGTCGTGCACGTGAGGAGCAGCTGGAGTTGGAGAGAGAGAGCCTCGAGGTGGAGCAGCAGCAGCAGATGGAGGAGCAGCAGGAGCTGGAGGAGCAGCAGGAGCTGTGAGAGTACGATGGCCAGTTATGCATGCCTGCCTTTACTTTATTATGCTACTTCTAGCTTAGGTTTATTTTATACATGCATGAATTGCTTGATTTCCTAGGCTAGGTGCTTTCCTATATTTTATTATAGTTATAGCACCGAGCTAGGTTGCGTACACCGAATTCTAGGCTTTTCGATTGCCACCGAATTGCCTTCTACCGAATTCGGGAAGGGTCTGTTCGGGACGCTTCGCGACCCCCAGAACCTTCGCGTAACACCTGGTTACTGCCCCTTGTGTCGAGCCTATATATAGCCTCGTGTTGTACCCAGGTGATCATTCAATTCAAACCCTCTTTCCTGAGCTCGATCCTAGATCCTCACAGGAGCAGCCGCAGCAACAGCAGCTGCTGGAGGTGCAGCGGCTGCAGCAGCAGCAGCAGCAGCAGCCGCCTCCTCCTCCTGTCTCTGGTCTTCGGGCCCTCGGTCTCCCCTCTCCCTCTCCTCCCTCCTCCCCCTCTCCTCCCGTCTCTGGTCCTCCGCTTCCTCCTCCTGACCCTTACCCAGCTGTTTTCCCTCGTTCTCAGCCTCCGTTGTCCCCTCCTCTTTCTCACACTTGGCCTTCTTGTCACTCACCTCGTGCTCGTCCCTCGTCTCCTGTTCTTATCACTGACCTTCGTATTGCCCTATTTCGTTGTAGTCCACCTCGTTCATCTCCGTCTCTACTTCCTTCTCCTCTTGAGTGGGCCCTCAATGCTTCCCTCTTTACTCCTCTCACAGACTACTTCCGCACGTACCGTCCCGTACTCTCTCATGTTCTAGCCTCTCTTGCTACCGACCCTCATGCCTCATTGTCCTCTGTCTCCGCTCTTACTGCCGCAGTCACTGAGTTTGCCTCTACTCGCCGCCTTCATTACGCCACCTGTCTTTTGGCTGCTCCTCCTATCAGTCCGCTGGCCGTCGGGGGTGAGTCTGCCCTTGGCTGTGACGCCCTAGAGGACAGGCAGTTTGAGCTAGAGTTCCTGGCCGCCGCTTCCCCTCATCTCTGTGCCATGCTGCTTGCCCCTGAGGGAGACCCCGACGCCCTTGACATACTGACTCCTCACACTTACGCTTAGGCAGTGTCTGTCGTCTTCTGCCGACCCGTCGCTGTTCGTTCGTCGTGGCTCCACACCGTTCTTTGTGCTGGTCTATGTCGATGACCTGGTTTTCACCACTGCTGATAGGGTTGATTTGGCAGACATGAAGTCCTAACTACAGAAGAGACACACATGCACTGACTTTGGTCAGCTGCGCCACTACCTTGGTCTGCAGATCACCAGGGACAGAGCTGCTCGCACCACTACACTCTCACAGCCACACATGGTGCAGCAGGTCCTTCAGCGGTTCGAGCTTCAGCACTCCACAGTACAGCGCACACCTCTCGCTGTTGACCACAGACTCACTGGACCCTTTCCTGACGAGCCGTTTGAGCCTAGTGGTCCTTACGCAGAGCTTGTGGGCTGCCTCATGTACCTGATGACTTGTACTCGCCCGGACCTCGCCTTCCCTCTCAGCATCCTTGCTTGCTTTGTTGCGCTAGGGAGATACCGTCCTGTTTGTCAAGAATATTTCATGTTTGTGTTGTGTAGGCTGTAGTGGGGTAGCCCATAAGGGGTACAAACTAATTAGGGTTAGTACTTGTAGTATGTTTTGACCTCAATGCATCCATTCTCGTTCAGTATTTTGACATGGTTTCAGAGCAGGTCCTGTTCCAGGACCGTTTATTAGGGCCTCCCCTTGGGCGGAGCCGACGTTGTGGTCGGGTGCGCGGGGAAGCAGCTGACCTGGAGCAGTGGGCGAGCTGGTCGACGAGGTTGGTCGACCTGCACGCGGGCCACTACAAGGGCGCCAATTTCGGAGGGCGCCGAGTCCGAGGTGGTCGACCTGGCGAGGCCGACTTTGCAAGGGCGCCAACTTCAGGGCGCCAACTGGCAGAGGCAGACGACTTGGCAAGGTTGGCGGCCCAGTTCCGGCGTGGTAAACAAAGGGACGCCGACCAGGGGCAACGCCGACGTGGTGGTGTCGACCTGGTCCGAATGACCGGGATACCTTGGCGATGGATTTCCGCGGGGGCGTGCGAATGTCGCCCGGGGCGGCTTTTGCGAGATCTATCTCGAGGGTGGTATCCCAAGGTCGACGTGGCTAGTGGGCGCGGTCGCTGGTGTGTTCTCGGCCTGGGCGTCCGCGCTGTGCACGTGACGAGGCGTAGTGCACCAACCAGATGCGCGAACCGACGAAGCAGGTGCATCGTTGTCGTGCGGGTGCAACGCTGTGCAGCCGACTTGCTGCAGCGTTGGCACACCACGGACTTGCGACGTTGGCAAGCCGCGTCCCTGCGGTGCTGGAGCGGTGCGAGCATTGCTGCGCTGGAGCGCGGTCGACCGTGCTGCGCTGGAGGTTGACCAACTTGCTAACTAGCTGGGATGTAGTGATGCATGCCAATGTTGTTGCTATCATTGTTGTGAACTTTTGCTAGTGAAACTCTTGCCAAATTTCCCCGTGAACCAGCAAGTAGTGAGAGCACAAGGAAACAACTAAGGAACGAACGCAGAGATCATTCCTACTCCGTGCCTAGCCCGTAGTCTAGCTCCCGTTGACAGAGTTATCTCCGCATGGTGCGGTGAGCGTGGACGACACCGCGACGTCACCTTCGGTTTAGCCGATTTTGCACCCACTTCGGTAGTTCATAGACCAGCGGTCGACCTTGACGCCATGGTTGACCCCGTAGCTGAGGCGGGCGTCGTGGACACCCTGGAAGCACGGCTGGCTGACGCAAGGAGACGCCATGATGCCTGAGAGTACGGGGAGACTCTCCCCTCGGTGGTCGTTGAGGCTGGCATTCGCGCCGTGTGGGCGACGGACCACCCTTCCCGACCAGTGTCTCCTCGACAGGCAAACACTGCGGCCGGCGACGACGTGGGCGTCAACGCTTGTGACCAGGTCCGCAGCAGTGCGGGAGGCACATCAAGGCCGAGAGGAGTGATACACGCCGGTGAAGTCGGCGGCGTTCAAGCTGTCAACGGGAGTGGTGTTTGGCCCCGTCCTCGCTTGGGCGGAGCCGACCTCGATGACCGCGGGACCGCGGGAGGCCGCGGGTACCGCGGGAGGCCGCGGGACCGTGGGAGACAGCGGAACCGCGGGAGACCGCGGAGCCGCGGGAGGCCGCGGGACCGCGGGAGGCTGCAATCCGCGGGAGACCGCGGAACCGAGGGAGATCGCAGAACCGCGGGAGACCGCGGAGCCGCGGGAGGCCGCGCGACAGCGGGAGGCCGTGGGTACCGCGGGAGGCCGCGTGACCGCGGGAGACCGCGGAGCCGCGGGAGGCCGCGGGAACGCGGGACCGCGGGAGGCCACAGGACCGCGGGAACTGCGGGGGACCGCGGGAGGCCGCGAGTACCGCGAGTGGCCACGGGACCGCGGGAACCGCGGGAAACGCGGGGGACCGCGGGAGGCCGCGGAGACCGCGGGTGACCGCGGGAGGCCGCGGGGACCACGGGAGGCCGCAGGTACCACGGGAGGCCACGGGACCGCGGGAACCGCGGGAGGCCGCGGGAGACCACGGGACCGCGGGAGACCACGGGGCCGCAAGAGCCGCGAGAGCGCGGGACCACAGGGGCCATGAGGGCCGTGGGGGACGACCGCAGGACTGCGGGGGGCGCAGGATACCCGGTCGACCAGGATACCCGGGCGAAGTGTGCGGAAGTCGTCGGGGTGGTTTCTGCGAGGACGACCTCGGGGGTGGTATCCCGAGGTCGACGTGGCTGGTGGGCGCCGTCATGAGTGGAGTGTCTGCGCTGGGCATGTGACGGGGAGTTGGGCGCCAACCAGCTGCACGCACCTGCGAAGCTGGTGCACCGTTGTCAGGCGGGTGCAATGCTGTGCAGCCGACTTGCTGCAGCGTTGGCACACCGCGGACTTGCAACATTGGCAAGCCGCGACTCTGCACTGCTGGAGTGCGGTCGACCAAGTCGTGCTGGCACGCGGTCGACCATGCTGCGCTGGCAGTCGACCAGCAGCCTTGCTAGGTCTGATGTAGTCTGTGTTGCCAATGTTGATGCAATCATTCTGAACTTTTGTTGTCATGTTTTCCTAGTGAAACTCTTGCCAATTTTCCCCGTGAACTAGCAAGCAGTGTTAGCACTTGGAAACGACTAAGGAACGAACGAACGCTACGATCACTCTTGCCCCGTGCCTAGCCCGTAGTCTAGCTCCCGTTGCACAAGTTATCTCCGCACAGGCGCGAGGAATGCAGTCGTCGGCGGCTGCAGGGGCCTCGCAGGGCGACGTCGGAGGCCGACGAAGCGGATTGGCGCCGATGTCGGCGACTCACGTGACGACGGGAGGGATCGTGCCAAGCTACGGCTACTTCAAGTTTACGCCGGATAGGATCTCGATCACCCCCTGCTGGTCGGTCGCCCCGACATCCTCACCTGTAAAGAAGCCATCGAGCCCCAGCTGGAGATGGCCGGGCTGATGAGATTCGCCGCCGGCACCGTGGCAACGCCGTCGAAGAACTACCCCGACCTGCTTGCATAGTTCCGCGTTGTGCAGCTGCTGACCTTCACGGTCATCTCACGGTGCTGCTCGCCAGGCGTGCAGATCGCCTTGAAGCCGTGCAGGGACTACCTGGACGCCGGCCACCAGGCATGATGCTTCATCGAGTCGACGTACCAGGTCACCGACGACCTGTACATCGGCTAGCTCGAGGAGCAGGTGAGGCATCTGCGGATGGGCGACCAGGAGACTGCGACCGACTACTGCAACCGGGCTCGGCGACTTCTCGCCACCATGAGGATGTCCGGCGTGCAGTACTCAACGGCGTCGTACGTCACGCACGTCCTGAAGGGACTCCCGAGCAGCTACAACCTGCTGAAGCGGCTGTCGATGGTACCAAGCACGCGGACAATGCTGAACGAGGACTCCCTGACCTCGTACATCCTGCGGGACGAGGCGATGCAGGAAGCTGAGCGGTCCTCGTAACTCCTGCCGCAGGTGAACTACGCTGCCCCGACGAAGCAAGGTGGCCGTCCGGGACAGCGTAGTCATCCTGGCGACAGTGGTAGCAGTGGCGGGAAGCCGGGTAGGGACGTCGACAAGACGAAGTCGGCCAAGGACGGCGGTCGCGGAGGAGGAGGTCGGCGTCGGGAGTGCTGGATCTGCCATAGCCCCGACCACCTCTCCTTTGAGTGCCCCGACCGAAGTGAGTCCGACGACGACGCCAAGGGAGGTTGCGGGAGGTCGGCCAGCCGTTGTCCACGTTGGGGAAGCAGGCCGCGCAAGGAGAAACAGTCGAACAAGTCGACCTCGGCGAAGGACGCCGACTCCTCTGCTGGCGGCAAGGGGCGAGACGACAAGGAGGCGTCGTGCTCGCTGGTCGGCGTCGTGGAGCCGACCGTCTCGCAGGCGTCGGAGGCCGGAGAGGATTTCCAGGCGATGGCAGCAGCGGTGCAGGCGAACCCGGCGGTGGTCCTGCTCGACAGCGGCTGCTCACACCACCTGATGGGGACAAAGGACGCCTTCGTCGACCTGCAGCCGAGCGGCGACGTCAAGCACGTGCGCGGCTTCAATGGGGCACTGCAGGACGTCAAGGGCAGGGGCACGGTTGCCTTGTAGGGGGAGGTCGGGAAGCAGGTTCTCATTCCCGACGTGCTCTATGTCCCGGGCGTGAAGGCGAAGTTGCTCTCCGCCAGTCAGCTAAGGGAGAACGGCGTGAAGCTGCAGGATGATGGTGACAGGATGCTACTCGTCTCGGCAGCAGGGGACGTGCTTGGTCGGGCGACGTACACCGGCCGGGTCCTCTGCACCGACCTTCGACCTTGCTCAAGAGAGCGGAATCCAACCATAACAGAGGTGGTGGCACTGCGGGCGATTGTCTCGGCGACCAAGTCGACGCCGGGGAGGTGGCACGCGAGGCTTGCACACGTCGGCGTCGATATCATCACGAGCTCGGCAAAGCACGAAATTGCCATCGGCCTGAACGTCAAGCAGTCGGCCGGTGCGGACTCCCCGTGCGTGTCATGCGTCGGCGGGAAGCTGGCGCGGCACACGTTCCCCGATAAGGGCTCGGACGCCGAGGACTCTCTGGCCGTCGTGCACATCGACCTGTGCGGGCCATTCCGGGTGGCTGCCAAGGATGGCAGCTTGTACTTCTTGCTGCTGAAGGACCGCAAGACTCGCTACGTGTGGGTGTGGCTGGTCACGAAGAAATCGGACGTGCGGCGGGAGTTTGAGAAGTGGCTGGTAGTGGCTGAGCGGCAGACCCAGAAGTCGGTGTTGATGCTGCGCTCTGACCGGGGAGGGGAGTTTCTTGGGAAGGAGTTCACCGCCTTCGTGGACGGCAAGGGGATCGTCCACGACCCGACCTGACCCTACATCCCGTAGCAGACAGCATGGTGGAGCGGGAGATGCGGACGGTGGTGGAGTCGGTGCGGACGATGCTACTGCACATGGGCGTGCAGCACCACTAGTGGCACCTCGCTCTGCGGCAGGCTGTCTGGGTCCGCAACTGCCTTGAGAGGTCGGCGCTGCCGCCAGGGATGACGCCGTACCAGCTACTGACTGGGAAGAAGCCCGACTTGTCGCTAGCACGGGTGTGGGGCTTCATGGCACAGTTTCTGGTTCCCGAACAGCAACGTGGGGCCTTCACCTCGGTGTGTCAGAGGAGAGTAAGGGCTGGGAGCTCCTCGACATCGCCGACAACCGGGTGGTCACCACGTCGGACGTGGTGTTCTACGAGACCATGTCGCTCGAGGTGTGGAAGTCGGAGCATGGGCCGGTGTCGGGGCGGACGCTGGTCACCCCGCCGACAGATACCTCGACGGCGGCACTCCCTCTGCTCGCCGTGGTCGGTGAGCTTGCTGATGACGATGCCGAGGTCGTCCGCCCTTCCTCCACTTCCTCTGCCCCTCCTCCCCCTCCCCTAGAGGCCAACCTGCGTGGGCTGACTCCGGTATCGGCCTCCGGTGATGAGGGGAGATGTGGGGCGTCGCTTGAAGCTCCGGCCAAGGACATCACCGGTGGCCGTCGTGGCGACAAGCAAGACGGCGTGGAAGCAGAGCAGCAGACCAAGGAGCCAACGCCGACAATGGTAAAGGGGGCGGCTGCAGGGAAGCTGCCGACAGGGGAGCAGAGGATGGTGGAGCCGACAGGGAAGCTGTCAGCAACGGGGATGTCGATGGGGGAGTCGACAACAGGGGAGAAGTCTACTGGGACGCTGGCTTTGGTGCAGCACGACGCCGAGGACTAAGAAGCCGGCGAAGCTGAAGGGGAGCAGTCGGACTCTGGGCAGTCTACTGACAGCGATGTAGTGGAGGTCCACTCCGAGCAGCCTGAACTTCGACTTCAAGCCGAGTCTGGAGGCCGCTGGAGCGGCTAACCTACCATGTCAGCCTCCCGCCAGCTGCCTTCTTCATGTTGTACGACAACGACGACGACGACCTGGCGTACGACGACACATAGGACGTCCGGGGCTCGACCCCGACATGCACGCCGACCCCGAGCACTGCTGGGACATCGCAACCATGACGGTGAAGGAGGCGTTGGCGAGCTGGAAGGGCAAGGCGGTGAAGGCCGCCATGGATGAGGAAATACGGAGCCTCATCGCGAACGGCACGTGGGAGCTCGTTGAGCGGCCCCCCGGCGTCAACATCATGAAAAATCGGTGGATGCTGATGACGAAGTACTGAATCGACAACACCGTAGAGCGCGAGAAGGCGAGGCTGGTCATGAAAGGCTTCACGCAGAGATATGGCGCCGACTACGACGAGACGTACGCACCGGTGAGCAGCTACATCACGCTGAGGATCTTCCTCAGCATCGTCGCCGTCCTCGACCTCAACCTGATGTAGCTCGACATGAAGAACGCCTTCCTGCAAAGCAAGCTCGACCGCGTTCTCTACATGTACCAGCCGGACTTCTTCAACGACGGACCGACCGGATGTGCAAGCTGCTGAAGAGCCTCTATAGGCTGAAGCAATCGCCACTGCTGTGGAACAAGGCGCTCAACGACATGCTGGTAGGCGCCGCATGGAAGAAGAGCCAGGTCGACAAGGCTCTGTACTTCAAAGTCGGTGTCGACAAGGTGGTCTGTTGGGTGCTGGTCTACGTCGACGACCTGCTTGCCGCCAGCAGCAGCACCGCGATGCTGAAGGAGCTGAAGGAGCTGCTGGAGGCCGCCTTCGAGCTGCGGGAGATCTCGCCGGTGCAGAAGTACCTCGGGCTGGAGATCGTGCTAGACAGGCTGGCGAGGAAACTATGGCTACACCAGCAGAGCTACGCCGACAAGCTGCGTAGGCGTTTCATCGACGAGGAGCAGGGCGGTCGGACCCCAAAGACGCCGGTCTCCGTCGACGCCTACGCCGAACTCACCTTCGACGACGACAAGGTACAGGAGCGCCAGGAGGAGGAGTACCGGCAGAAGGTCGGCCCGCTGCCGTCCGCGGCGACGATGACAAGGCCGGACATCGCCTTAGCGTGTAGCAAGCTGGGGAGCGGCCTCACAGTGAGGAGCGATCAGCACTGGCGCGAGGTCGACCGCTGCCTCGCCTACCTCGCCAACACGCGTGACACCGCCCTGGAGTTCGGCGGTGGTCCGGAGTCACTGGAGCTGGTCGGCTACGTGGACGCCGATGACCGCGGCGACAAGCAGAACCGGACGAGCACGGGTGGCTACGTGTTCGTCTACGGAGGGGCCGCGATCTCCTCCTAGTCGAGCCAGCGCATCAAGTGCGCGACGTTGTCGTCGACCGAGTCGGAGTACATGGCGGCAACAGAAGCCGGGAAAGAAGGACGCCGACTTCGATTCCTCCTAGCAGAGTTCCGGTAGCTGGATGCCGGGAAGGCGACTATCTTTCGGGTAGACAACAAGTTGGCCATCATGATCGCCGAGGGCATGGGGTTGACAGGCAACCTCAAGCACATGGAGCGGCGACAAGCCTGGCTGCAGCACATGGTGAAGCGCGAGAAATTCACGCTGAAGTATAGCCCTACCACTGAGCAGCCGGCCGACTTCCTGACAAAGGCGCTGCACTTTCCGGCCTTCAACCAGTGCTCCGTCGCGATCAGCCAAGTGCGTCTGGCCGAATTCGGCGACGGCTACAATGATCTGCAGTAGTAGGTGCCATGCCCTCTTGTATGGCTGGTGCGGTGTCCGGCAAGCTGTATGTTGTGTGCACGCTGCGGAGCTATTCTCCGAGCAGTACTGCCGTGTGGGTTGGGGGCCCAAGCGTGAACGCAGCAGGGGAGTGTCAACGGGAGTCGTTATGAGGCTCCGTCCTTGCTTGGGCGGAGCCGACGTTGTGGTCGGGTGCGCGGGGAAGCAGCCGACCTGCAGCAGTGGGCGAGCTGGTCGACGAGGATGGTCGCCCTCCACGGGAGCCACTGCAAGGGCGCCGACTTCGGAGGGCGCCGAGTTTGAGGTGGTCGACCTGGCGAGGCCGACTTTGCAAGGGCGCCGACTAGCAGAGGCAGACGACTTGGCAAGGTCGGCGGCCCAGTTTCAGCGTGGTCGACAAAAGGACGCCAACCAAGGTTAACGCCGACGGAGTGGTGTCGACCTGGTTGCCAGGTTGACCGGGATACCCTGGCGACGGATTTCCGCGGGGGCTGTGCGAATGTCGCCGGGGCGGCTTCTGCGAGATCAACCTCGGGGGTGGTATCACGAGGTCGACGTGGCTAGTGGGCGCGGTCGCTGGCGTGTTCTCGGCCTGTGCGTCCGCGCTGTGAACATGACGAGGCGTAGTAGCGTGTTACCCTGTCCGTAGCGCCCTACTCTGCCCGCCGCGCTACCCCACCCGTCGCGCTGCCCTGCTAGTCGCGCGCTACCCTGCTGCCTGCGTCGCGCTGCCCGAGCCCGCCCTGCCCTGCGTCGTGCCACCCCGCAAACGCCCTGCCCTGCGTCGCGCTGCCCACGCCTGCCCTGCCCTGCGTCACGCTGCCCGCGCCCGCCCTACCCAGCGTCGCGCCGCCCCGCGCTCGCCCTGCCCTGCGTCGTGCCGCCCACGCACGCCCTGCCCGGCTCGTCGCGCCATCCGCGCACGCCCTGCTCTGCATCGCGCCGCGCGCGCACACCCTGCCCTGCGTCGTGCCGCCCGCGCACGCCCTGCCCGGACCGTCGCGCCGCCCGCACACGCCCTGCCCGGCCCGTCGCGCCGCCCGCGCACGCCCTGCCCTGCGTCGCACCGCCCGCGCATGCCCTGCCCGGTCGATCGTGCCGCCCATGCATGCCCTGCCTTGCGTCGAGCCACACTCGCACGCCCTGCCCTACTCGTCGCGCCGCTCTGCTCGCCGCGCGCCGACTTGACCTGCCCGTCGCGCCGCCCCCGTGCCCGCGCCCCGCTGGAAGCGCGCCGCCCTGCCTTGGCCGCACACTGCCCTTCCCTGGTCGCGTGCTGCCCTGCTCTGCCTTGCACGCCTCCCTAGTGCCCGTGCGCCGCCCTGCCCTGCCCATCACGCAGTCCAGCTGCCTGCGCTCTGCCCTGCCTTGGTCACGTGCTGCCCTACTGGTCGCGCGCCACCTGCCCGCTATGGCCTCTCTCAGTGTTCTTACCTTTGATTCTGAGGGCCGTCCGATCCAGTTTGAGACCTGGCTAGACGACTTACAGTTGTACCTACACTGCGGGTCTAGGGACGGCGTCTCCTTGTTTGACCACACGTCTGGGACCTCTCCTGCTCCTTCTGAGACAGCTGACAGCGCAACTCGCTCATAGTGGCTTATGTCAGAAATAACTGAGCAGGAATGGATTGAACTAGCACATAGTTTGGTACAAGTAGGAAACCCTAACTTTCAGTACCCCCTAAGGTGTAACCCACTACAGCCTACATAATATAAGCATGCAATGTTTGACACACCCCCATAGGCGTAGTGGGAGACAACCACAGGGTCACAAGACCAGTCAAAGCAAAGCAAAGCAAGCTCAGGGTGGATCTCAAGGATTCCACACAAATTCCGAGCACAAGCAAGCGGTCACAAGACCAGTTCACATGCAGGTTTATAACAAAGCAAGAGATACAGTGATCACAACCTAGCAAAAGTAAACAAGTAGGCATATATATATAGTGATCACAGTACAAGCAAGGTCAAGAGGTAAGCAAGTGAGGCCCAGTAGGTACAAGGCCTAGCAGAGTGCAAAAGCGCTGATGGTCACAAGGCTGAAGTGCCTTGGTGAACACATCAGCAGTGTTGGCCTCCGTGGCCACGTAACGCAGACAAAGCTGACCACGCTGCTGCAGCTCTCGAGCAAGGAAGTACCGCAGAGCGATGTGCTTCGTTCTGTGCTCCAGTCTGTGCTCCTCACACAAGGCAATGGCAGCCTTGTTGTCGACGTACAGCACTGGAGGAGAACGAGGCCGCTCTCCGAGGTCGGTCAGCAGGTAGGTCAGCCAGCGTAGCTCCTGAGCAGCCATGGCTGTGGCGTAGATCTCAGCCTCACAACTGGAGCTGAGAACAGAAGAAGAGCGAGTAGAACGCCAAGAAACTGAGCCAGAGCCAAGGCTGAAGGTGTAACCCTGGGACGACCGCTGAGTAGCCTGGTCGTCTGCCCAAGAAGCGTCTGAGTGCCCTGTGAGAACAACCCGGTCTCGCCCTCCAAGCACAAGCCCCATGCCCGACGTACTGCACAAGTAGCGCAACACCCTCTTAGCAGCATCCATGTGCTCCTTCCGGTGACGGCCAGGAGCGACATAGCGTGCTAGGATGCTAAGAGGGTATGCAAGGTCAGGTCGAGTGCAGGTCATCAGGTACATGAGGCAGCCCACAAGCTCTGGATACGGGCCACTCGGCTCTACGGACTCATCCGAAGGCAGAGCTGAGAGTGAGTGACCGGTAGGCAGAGGAGTGGACTGAGGCGAGGAGTACGTGAAGCGGAAGCGCTGGAGAACCTGCTGCACCATGTGTGACTGAGTCAGGGTGATGGTGCGCCGTGCTCTGTCCCGGGTGATCCGCAAGCCAAGATAGCTCGTCAGCTCACCCAGGTCTGTGCACGTGTGTCTCCTCTGCAGCTCCGACTTCACGTGAGCGAGTGCCGCGGTGTCAGCAGTGGCAAAGACCAAGTCGTCGACGTACACGAGGATGTAGAACGGCGGCAGCGAGGTGTCGGTGCGTAGAAACAGCGACGGGTCAGCAGTAGAGGGAGCGAACCCAAGAGCCGCAAGTGTCGTCCTCAGTGTGTCGTGCCACTCACGTGGCGCCTGGCGGAGACCGTAGACCGGCCGCTGAAGCCTCCACTGGGTGCCAGGAGGAACTGACCCAGTGAAGCCAGGGGGGCGACGCAGCCAGATCTCCTCGTGCAGGCTGCCCTGCAAGAAAGCAGTGCTGAAGTCAAGAGAGTGAAGCTCGTAGTCGCGGTGAGCGGCTATGTGCAGCAGCACCCGAAGAGTAGTCATCTTCGGGGTGGGGGAGAAGGTCTGAAAGAAGTCTACTCCCTCTCGCTGACTGAAGCCTCGAGCCACGTAGCGCGCCTTGAAAACAGGCGGAGAACCCGGCGGCCGCTTCACCCTGAAAATCCACATGCCACTGACAATGTTCGCCCCAGGAGGGGGAACCTCGTCTACGTAGGTGCCTGTGGACTTCCAGGAGGCCATCTCTGCGTCCATGGCTGTCTGCCACTGAGAGGAGTAGGGACCCGCCATCGCCTCAGCGTAAGAGCGTGGGGTCGGGATGTCTGGTGCATCCGGGTCTCCCTCAGGGGCAACTAGCAAGGACACGAGACGGGGCAAAGCAGCAGCAAGGCAGTGGAACTCCTCCTGTCTGTCCTCAAGGACGTCCGTGCCGAGGGCACACTCACCCCCGACGGACGGAGGACAGGCAGACGCAGACTCAGACCTAGCGACAAGGCTGGCAGCGTAGTCTAGGCGACAGCGAGCAGCAAAGTCAACCAACTCAGCGACCAGAGCAGACGCAGCAGAGGACTCAAAGGTCGGGTCAGTGACAACTGTAGCGAGGAGACGCGTAACAGTGGGACTGGCAGCACGACGGGAGTCAGACTCCGGGTCAGGAAGAGTAGGAAGAGAGGACGCAGGAGGAGACGGCAGCGGGACACGCTGCGGAGCAGTGGAGGGACGCAGAGTCATGTAGTGAGTGCCAGGGACAGGAGGAGGACGCTCACGTGGGACACGACGACCAGTGCGAGCAGTACGAATAGGCGACGCAGGACGAGACTCAGGCTCACGACGCTCTGTAAGACCTCCTGTGGGACCAGCGTAAGGAGAGGGAGCAGGGAGAGGCGAGGCAGGCGGTAACTGTGACTGCGGCTGGACAGGCGGAGGACACTCTACGGAGGGAGGAGGACAAGGAGGAGGAGCCTGCCCAAGAACCTGCTGAAGGAGCGGTACGAAGTACGGTCGCGGCCGCGCAGCGTCTCCAGAAGCAGCAGGGACACCAGTGGCAGCCCCAACGCCCGAGTCCTCAGCACCAGCAGCAGCTCCAACGCCCGGGTCCTCAGCACCAGTAGGAGCTCCAACGCCCGAGTCCTCAGCACCAGCAGCAGCGCCACCGGTCGGGTCCTCAGCACCAGCAGCAGCTCCAACGCCCGGGTCCTCAGCACCAGCAGCAGGGCCACTGGTCAGGTCCTCAGCACCAGCAGCAGCGCCACCGGTCGGGTCCTCAGCACCAGCAGCAGCTCCAACGCCCGGGTCCTCAGCACCAGCAGCAGCTCCAGCCCCCGGGTCCTCAGCACCAGCAGTAGCTCCAGCGTCCGGGTCCTCAGCACC